GATGGTGATGATGATGGTGACGATGGTGATGATGATGATGATGATGATGATGATGATGATGATGATGATGATGATGATGATGATGATGATGATGCCCTGTCTCCCCTACCTTCGCCTCCCTCTCTCACCTTCCACTCTCCCTTCACCTCCCTTCCCCTCCCTTCCCCTTTTCTCCACAATTACATACATAATATGAATACTACTTTCCTTTCTCCCATGACTCTGTCAGGAGAGTCTTCCGTCCTCTCCGCGTCGTGTTTTTTTTCCGCAGGACATCATTTTTTTTTCCGATGTGTTTTTTTCAATGTGGTCGTTTCTGATTCTTCCAGACTGGTGCTCCCGCTTCAGCGCTGCCCTCCCTCATCTCCGCGCTTCGGTCATAAAAGTCGTGCTCCCGCTGCAGCGCTGGTCTCGTTCCCGCGCTTCCAGACGGCGCTTGGATTTCGAAAGCGCCCGCATCGGTCAGGCACTGTTGCGGAGGACATGGAGCCGCCATTCCGGACAGGCCCTGTTTTCTCGTAGGCGGGCCATTTACCCTCCCAGGCATTCGGTGCCATGCCACGGCATGCAATGCGATGCTGTGTTGTGCGCCGCTGTGCGATGCCATGTTTTGCGCTGTTATGCTTTGTTATGCAATGTTTTACTACGCAGTGCCACGCCAGGCTATGACATGCTATGCTCTGCCGTGTCCTTCCACGCCATGGTTTTCCATCCATCTCGTGCACTTTTGGGATCATTGCCCTGCTCGACATCCGACTATGCGAGTAGATAGGGTATCTACGCCATGTAAGGGATGGGAGGGAGGGGTGGCACGTCAGATGTGACGCTACCACACCTAGCTTGCGTCCCCTCCCCTCCCCTCCCCCCGCACGGTGTCTTCCTTGGTCCTCGCCTCGCCCGTTTTCGGGACCCTCGCGTGGCCCCCCTCGTTGCGCGTGGCGATGGTCGTGCTTCAGTGGAGTTAGGGCTTGACGCTGGACCCACGTCCAAACATGAACCGCCGTGAGGGGGGCAGCCTGCTCTGCCTCCCCTCCCCTGATCTTTCCTCCCCTCCCCTCCCCCTCCCTCTCCCCTTCCCTGCCTTCCCTCCCCTCCCCTCCCCTCCCTTCCCTCCCCTCCCCCCTCCACCCCTCCCCGCCCTTCCCCGCCCCTCCCCCTCCCCTCCCCTCCCCTCCCCTCCCCCCTCCCCTCCCCTCCCCCTCCTCTTCCCCTCTCCGCTCCCCCTGCCGCCCTCCCCCTCCCCCTCCTCTTCCCCTCTCCGCTCCCCCTGCCGCCCTCCCCTCCCCCTCCCTCGGCCTTCTCCTCCCCCCCTCCCAGATCCCTGGCTCCCCGCGAGGTCGGCCGCCTCCTCTGCCTCGACGCCGCCCGCGTCAGCTGCGCCGGCTTCGGCGCTGGCGGGCGCCTCTGCGCCGCCGCCGCCTCGGAGCTGCGCGGCCTGGTGGCGGCCATCGCGCTGGTCGGGGCCCGTGATGCCCTGGGTGGGGCACGCCGGCGGCGGCGGCGGCGACGTCGTCGACGACGACGACGCCTCGAGGAGGAGGAGGAGGAGGAGGAGGAGGAGGAGGAGGAGGAGGAGGAGGAGGAGGAGGAGGGATAAGGGAAGAGACGAGGGATGGGGAGGGCGAGGAGGGGAGGGAAAGGATGATGACGGAGAGGAGGAGAACGGTGGGGATGGAGGAGGAGGAGGAGGAGGAGGAGGAGGAGGAAGAAGAAGAAGAAGAGGATGACGAGGAAAATGAGGACGGAGGGGCGGCGGCAGCGGGGCGGCGAGGACCACGATGGCGGTAAGGCTTCGGGTTGTGCGCAGACAGCTTCTTTTGGTAGTCCCGTCTGGCCTCACCAGGCCTCCCGATTAGTCCCAGCTGTCTTCAACAGGCCCCCAAGTATAGTCGGACCGAGGTATAAATTCGAGGCTGGTTTGGCGAGGGTACCCTGATGTTCTTCGTGTTTGTTGGACGTTCTTGTGCATCCTGGGGAGGGTACCCTCGGCTGTTCTGTGTGCTTTGGCTGGCGAAGTGTCTCGTGTTGTTGAGGGATGTTCTTCTGTCCTAGGTCCGACGGTAGTCCCGGCTGGCCTCACCAGGCCTCCCGATGAGTCCCAGCTGTCCTCACCAGGCCCCCCGAGTAGTCCCAGCTGGCCTCACCAGGCCCCCGAAGTAGTCCCAGCTGGCCTCAACAGGCCCGCCGAGTAGTCCAGGACACCCTGGCACCCCCTCCGGCTGCGCCCCCGTGGCGCTCCGCACCCCAGGGTTACGTAGGGTGCTGAGACCGCCTTGGACTACTCGCGGGGCATGTTGAGGCCAGCTGGGACTACACGGAAGCTGGAAAAAGTGATTGGGACCAGCCCTTCCACTCTTTCCAGCCCTGGCCAGCTTCCCTTTGTTTTTCCAGTCCTGGCGACCGCATCCCTACTGTTTCGGGCTCGCTTCACCCACTGCTAGTTTTTCCAGCCCTCGCCACTTCCACTTTCACTGATTTTCCAACTTTCACTTTTTCCAGCTTCCCTGCTCTCGAGAGGCCTGTTGAGGCCAAGTGAGACTACTTTGGAGGTCTGTGCGCAACCCAAATGCTTAATTACCAGCGGCGGTGGCGGCGGCAACGACGATGACGACGACCGACGACCGACGACCGACGACGGCGACGGCGACGGCGACGGAGGCGACGAAGGCGACGACGATGACGACGACCAAAGAGTTTTTCCATATTCTCGGCTTCTGGAAGGCGGTTTCGTTCCTGGCGGGATGAAAGCTGGCGAGGACGGACACACGGAGGGAGCTGGGGGAGGTGGCGGTTGCGGCGGCGGCCTCGGCGGCGGTGGCTGAGCAGGAGGAGGCGGCGACGACGACGACCGACGACTCGACGGCGGCGGCGGCGACGGCGACGGCGACGACGACCGACGACTCGACGGCGACGGCGACGGCGACGGCGACGGCGACGGCGACGGCGACGGCGACGGCGACGCGACGGCGACGGCGACGGCGACGGCGACGGCGACGGCGACGGCGACGGCGACGGCGACGGCGACGGCGACGACGACGACGACGACGACGACGACGACGACGACGACGACGACGACGACGACGACGACGACGACGGCGGCGGCGGCGACGACGACCGACGACTCGACGGCGGCGGCGACGACGACGACGACGACGACGACGACGAGGGGCGGCTGCTCGTCGTCCTCTTCGTCCTCCTCCCTCTCCTCCCTTCTTGTCCTCCTCCTCCTCCTTCCGTCTTCTTCCTTCTCGTCCTCCTCCTCCTTCTCCTCCTCCTCCTCCTCCTCCCTTCCTCGTCCCTCTCCTCCTCCTCCTCCTCCTCCTCCTCCTCCTCCTCCTCCTCCTCCTCCTCTTCCTAGTGCTCCTCGTCCTCCTCCCTGTCTTTTCTTGCCCTCCGAGGTCGCGGGGCTGGACTACCCCGAGCCTGACCACGCGGGCGGCCCCGTCAGCGTGCTCGCCTTCCACGGGCTGAAGGAGGGCCCGTTGCCGCCGCGGTCGTTGCGGCTTCGTGATCCTGCCTCGTGCCCCCCGTTCCTGCGACCCGATGCCGATCTCCGCAGGAGGACGAGTCCCAACGCCACCCTCAGAGCCCAGTGCTGCTCTCAGCCGCTCGTCGCTGCTACCCTGCCGTTGCAGCTCAGCGCGGCTCAGCGAGCTTAACGCTGCTGCAGCTCAGCGCTGCTCTCGACTGGGCGCAGGCAGGAGTGGCGGGCCGATGTCCTCCGGGGTCGGGGTGCCATGGTTGGCGTTTTGGGGAAGCGCGCGCTGGTTCTGGCCAGGTCCATGGCCCCGACGTGTCTCTGGCCCAGGGTGCCCCCAGCTTTTCGCACCATTCTGGGGCCCCGGAGGCTCTCTGGGCCTCGCGATGGGGTGCTCGGCCCCCTTGGCTTTGCCTGGGAGAAGCTAGGGCCACCTCGGGCCGGGGGCCACCCGTGGCAAGACCCGAGGGGGCCCCCGCGAACGCCGTCGACGTGAAGCACTCAGCCCCGCGCGCACGTACATGGCGATCTGCCCAAGCGAAACGCCGAATGCCGTCAGGAACCAGGAGGAGGAGGAGGAGGAGGAGGAGGAGGAGGAGGAGGAGGAGGAGGAGGAGGAGGAGGAGGAGGAGGAGGAGGAGGAGGAGGAGGAGGAGGGGGAGGAGGAGGAAGGAGGGATGAGGAGGAGGAGGAGGGAGGAGGGAGGAGGAGGAGGACGAGGAGGAGGAGGAGGGAGGAGGAGAGGAGGAGGAAGAGGAGGAGGAGGAGAGAGGAGGAGGAGGAGGAGGAGAGGAGGAGCATGAGGAGCAGGAGGAGGAGGAGGAGGAGGAGGAGGAGGAGGGGGGGGAGGAGGGGGGAGGAGGAGGGAGGAGGGACGAGGAGGAGGAGGGATCCAGTGGAGTTTCTCCCCCGCACGCGGATCCGAGCGATGGCCCTTCCGCCTCGCGGCGCCAGCTCCAGGCAGTCTATGCTCCGCTCTCGGCCTGCTCGCGCAGAGCAAGTGTAGGCTCGTGTCGTGCAAGGCTGAAGCGTCGCGAAAACTGTGGTCTCGGGTCGTGCAAGATCGTGGGCTTGTATCGTGCCAGAGCAAGTCTGGGCTCGTCTCGCGCAGTGTAAGTGCAGGCTCGTAGTCCGCCGAGGGGCGTTCAAGATCGAACGTCGCCGGTGGCCCAGAATCGGCCACTTGGAACGATCTGGATCTCGAGAGGCCGCTGATCGTTCGAGGCTGAGCGACCCACGCCGTGTCAGAACCAACGCAGAAGTCGGCAGGACACGAACCTGCCGTTTACGACGTTGCGCGCGTAGCGCACGGTGGACACCTCGCGGAAGGCTGAATAAGACCTCATCTCATCGTCCTGCTCCACATCCCTCCTCCCTCCTCCTTCCACAGCGGAAGTGGATCAGCAACGCTGCCTGCTGTTATTCTTACCGCCATCGGTACTGTTAGGCGTGTCTTGGCCGACGTTTCCACTTATTCGTCATGTACTCTCTTACTGTCAATCTAGCCAGCACCAACCTCCACATACGTGACCTCTTGAAACAGAGTTTAGACCGCCATGGAGGCACACGGTGCTGCGATATTCTTCGTCATTCTCCCGTACCTTCACCTACCTTCCTGCGCCCTGTCATGCGAGGGGCATTCGCCTTGCATCATGTGCGCCTTGGCCTGCGCACCTCAATTCCTGCCTCCTCTCTCCTTCCCCATCCTCGCTCTCCTACTCCCCCCCCCCCTCTGTCATCCCTTCTTCCCTTCCGCCCTCCCTTCCCGTTGGCCCCCTTCTGCTTCTGTTCATCGTCCTCGCCTCTGCCTCCGCCTCCTCTTTCTCCTCCCCTTCTCCTCCCATTCCCCTCCTCCTCCGCTCTTGCCACTCCCGCTTCTCCGCTAGTTCCTCAAGCCCTATCCAGTATCGTATGTTTGTTTGGTCTGGCTCCCTCGAGGGGCACCTGTGGGATGACGAGTTGGGAGAAGCAGGATGAGGATGAGGATGAGGAGCTGGAGGAGGGAGTGGAGGAGCAGCAGGGAAGGAGCATAATGACGATGATGAGGCGAAGGAGGAGGATGAGGACGGGAAGATCATGATGGGCAGGATGATGATGCTGATGATGATCATGATGATGATGCTGATGCTGCAGCATATGATGATGACGCTCAGGGTAACGATGATGATGATGCTGATGATGATGATGATGATGATGATGCTGATGATGCTGATGATGATACTGATGCTGCTGATGATGATGCTGTGTATGACGATGCTGCCAATGCTAGTGGTGATGATGATGGTGGTGGTGACGATGATGATGCTAATGCTGCTGATGATGATGCTGACGATGGTGATGATGATGATGCTGATGATGACGCTGATGATGATGATGCTGATGATGATGATGATGATGATGGCTGATGATGATGCTGGTGACGATGATTATGACGACGACAACGACGCCGACGACGATGATGTCGGTGACGACGATGATGAAGATGCTTATGATGATGACGATGATGATGAGGATGGTGATGATGATGGCGGTGATGATGATGATGATTATGTTGATGACGCTGATGGCGGTGATGATGATGACGATGATGATGACGATGATACTGATGATGATGATGCTGATGATGATGATGACGATGATGATGATGCTGATGATGATGATGATGATGATGATGATGATGATGCGTATGATGATGACGCTGATGGCAGTGATGATGATGATGACGATGATGATGACGCTGAGGATGATGGTGATGATGGTGATTCTGATGATGGAGAAGGTATTGGTGATGAGTATTGTGATGGAGATGGCGGTGCTCACGATGATGTTGACGACGACGAAGACAACGATGATGACGACGATGCTGCCGATGATGCTGATGCTGATAAGGATGATGACGATTGTGACGATGAGGTGATGATGATGACACTGACGAGGAGGAGTAGGCGGAGGAGGACGAGGATTACTAGGACGATACTGGCGATGATGATGCTGATGGTGATTATGATGATGATGATGATGATGATGATGATGATGATGATGATGATGATGATGATCTTGATGATGATGATGATGATGATGATGATGATGATGATGATGATGATGATGATGAACATGATGAACATGATGATGATGATGATGACGATGATGATGATGATGATGATGATGATGATGATGATGATGATGATGATGATGATGATGATGACGGGGGGGAGGAGGAGGCGGATGATGATGAACAGGAGGGGCAGGAGGAGGACAAGGAGGCAGGGGAGGAGAAGCAGGAGGATTTGGAGAACAAGCACAATGTGAAGGAGGATGTGGACGGAAGGAATCCTCCTCCTCGTCTTCCTTCATATCTTTTGTCATTTTCTGTTCTCTCTTTTCTTCTCCTTCTCCTTCCCTCTCCCCTGGTCCCCCCTCCTTTCCTTGTTCCTCCTGTGCTGTCCTGTCCTCTCATCTCGTCTCTTCTCCTCTCCTCTCCACTCTTACCTCTCTCACCTCCCCTGCTCAGCTTCCCACTCCATCTCATCCTCTCCCCTCCTCCTCTCTGCCCTCCTGAGGAGCAGGATGAAGACGATGAGGAGGAGAGGCAGGGGAGGGAGGGGAGGGCGGAGCCTGAGGAGGGCCAGGAGAAGGGGGGAAGAGGAGTAAGGAGGAGGAGGAGGAGGAGGAGGAGGAGGAGGAGGAGGAGGAGGAGGAGGAGGAGGAGGAGGAGGAGAGGGGAGAGGGGAGAGGGAGGAGGAAAAGCAGAGTAGGGGAGGGGAGTAAGAGGGAGGACGAGGAGGAGGAGGACGAGGAGGAGGAGGAGGAGGAGGAGGAGGACGGGGCGGAGACTGAGGAGGGCCAGGAGAAGGACCTAGACCAGGAGGAAGAGGAGTAAGGAGGAGGACGGAGGGCGTCGAGCCCCTCTGCGGCCGGCCCGCCCCCTCCGCGGGGTCAAGGGCCCCCGTAGCCGCCGGCAGGACCCAGTACACCCCTTCGAGGGCCAGGGGGATCTCCAGTCGATACCGGACGCCGCGGAGGCCTCACCTGCTTCTCATCCTCGTCATCGTCATCGCCATCATCATCGTCATCATCATCATCATCATCATCATCATCATCATCATCATCAGAGTGAGGGGGCCGAACGGTCATTCATTGTCACTGGGTGCGTGGCTAAAATGGATATTCGTGGTGAGAATTCTGCTTGTTTCGTTGTTGTTGTTGTTGTTGTTGTTGTTGTTGTTGTTGTTGTTGTTGTTGTTGTTGTTGCTGCTGCTGCTGCTGTTGTTGTTGTTGTTGTTGTTGTTGTTGTTGTTGTTGTTGTTGTTGTTGTTGTTGTTGTTATTGTTGTTGTTGTTGTTGTTGTTGTTGTTGGTTGTCGTCGTCCAGCCGCGACCCACCCGCGACCCGCCCCGCGACCCACCCCGCGACCCACCCCGCGACCCACCCCGCGACCCACCCCGCGACCCACCCGCGACCCAACCCACGACCTACCCGCGAACCACCCCGCGACCCACCCGCGACCCACCCCGCGACCCACCCGCGACCCACCCCGCGACCCATCCGCGACCCAACCCACGATCCACCCGCGACGCACCCAGAGACCCACCCTCAAGGGAGGAAAAATCACCCGGACCCGACAATTGACGTTTACCAAACGGCCTTGGGCGTTTACTAAACAGCCCTGCCCTGTTCGATTCTTTCCTTGTGTGCGTTTACTAAACGGCTTCGCTTGTCGGGGTGATTATTGTGGGGTGGATTTTCTGTCCTCTACACCCGCGACCCACCCGCGACCCACCCGCGACCCAACAGCGACCCTCTCGCGATCCACCCGCGACCCACCCGCGACCCATTTGTGACCCACCCGCGATCCACCCGCGACCTACCCACATTGGTTTAACGAAAAAATCGGCGCTTGCGGCGGGCTCGTTGTATAATTTGTGAAACTTTGGCGCCTGCGGCGGGCTTCCCCAGAGTCTTCGCAAACTGCCGACGTCCCCACCGTCCCCTCACTCTTATCCGCATCTGCGGGGTGCTACAGTCATCATCATCATCACCATCATCATTACCATCATCATCAACATCACCATCACACCATCACCATCACCATCACCATCACCATCACCGTAACCATCATCATGATCCTCCTCCTCCCGCTCCTCCTCCTCCTCCTCCTCCTCCTCCTCCTCCTCCTCCTCCTCCTCCTCCTCCTCCCCCCCATCATCCTCATCCTCATCAGCAGTACCAACATGACCATCATCATCACCATCACCATCACCAGCATCATCATCATCATCACCATCATTAACATCATCATCTTCGTTAACATCGTCATCAACATCGCCATCATCATCATCATCATCATTATCGTCGTCGTCGTCGTCGTCGTCGTCGTTGTCTTCATCATCATCATCATCATCATCATCATCATCATCATCATCATCATCATCTTCACCACGACCAACATCATCACCATCACCACCAGCATGATCCTTATCATCAAGATCATCATCATCATCATCATCATCATCATCTTCCTCATCGTTATTATCACCAGCACCCATCATCATCATTGTCATCATCATCATCACCACCATCATTGTCATCATCATCATCATCACTATCACCATCACCATCACCATCACCATCACCATCATCATCATCAGCATCAGCATCACCATCATCATCGTCGTCAGCACCATCATCATCATCACCATCATCATCATCATCACAATCTTCAGTATCATCATCACCATCGTCACCACCATGATCATCATCACCATCTTTATCATCATCATCATCATCATCATGTTCATCATCATCTCCACTGTCAATATCACAACCATCGTTATCATCATCACCATCGTCACCACTCCCAGTACCATCGTCATCATCATCATCATCGTCATCATCATCATCATCATCATCATCATCATCATCACCGCCACCATCATCATCATCATCATCATTATTTTCAGTCCGAGTATCCTCATGCTTCTAATCATGGTTCTGTCTGTTCGAGTAGGGCTTGAGGTGCCCATGGAGTCTATCTGAGCCCAGTAGATCCTGCAAGTCGACCCGAACACGCCATATCAGAGTCTCCTGGGGCATGATGTGGGTGTATCATGTCAGGCTGGTTTCACTATCGAGGCCAGGAGTCTGGTGATGTGCTCTTTGGACGAAGCCGCCAATGAAGTGGGCCCTCCCGCGAAGAGGGCGACCTTCCGGAGCATTGTGGAGAAAGCTGTTGCCGTGGCTCTCGCATTCGCCTCGGTTCGACATCTTGCCAATGATGGGCCATGCTTTGGGCGACGAGTACTACGTACATGCACGTGAGCGGACCGTGGCCAGGCCCATCCTGGTACCAGGATCGGTGTATGATACATATCTTTCTATACATATCAGCCAGAGTTGACTCCACATTGATTGGAGGACAGGAGGAGGACGAGAGCAACGTCCCTTATTGAGGCTGTCTTTGGGTCCTCTTGGGACGCGCCCCTGGGGCCGTTTTGGGGCCCTCGTGGGCCGTCTTTGAGGGCCCTCCTGGCAGCCCCTCCTGGGTCGTCTTGGGGCGGCTGGGGGCCTCGTGGGCTGTCTGGGAGGGTCGTAATCACGGAAAGTCGAGGACCACAAAACACATAAAAAAACATGAGGGACATCAATGGTTTTGGCCTCTCGGGGCCCTCTTGGAGGGCTCTAGGGGCTGACTTGGGGCGACGCGAAAGCTTCTCGGGCCGTCTTGGGGCCAGCTTGGGCGCCTTGGACCGATTCTGTGGCGATTCGGGGCCATCGTGGACCGTTTTGGCGGCCTCTTGGGGCCCTCTTGGCCCGTCTGGGGGCCCTTTTGGGCCTGAACAAGTCGCGCGCCACCACGCGACGGGCCCCAGGGGCCACGCGACGCACCCCAAGAGATTTCGCAGTTTGAGGTCTGGGCCCCTGCAAGAAATCTCAGGATTGAGGACTGAGGCTTAAGGGATTCGGCCAAGGACCTGAGGACCCTCCAACTCGTGCCTCATGGGCATGATGGCAGATCTACTGGCCTTCGGATGATCCCGTCATCGCGCAAGAGGCCTCTTCGTTGCATCTTGGGGTCTCTTGGAAAGCCTCTCGGAGCTATCTTGGATGTATTTTTGGGGCCTCCAGGGGTCTCCGGGGGCGCCTTTGGAGCCTCGTGGGGGCCTGCTGGCGGTCTGAGGCGCCATCTTTGGGAAGAACCTCGAAATGTCAGTTCGGTTTCTCCCCTTGGGCCTTGGGCCCCTCTCGGAGCCCCCCTACTTCTTGCGTCCTCTTGGGCTCCTCCTTGGCCGTCCTGGGGCCCTCTTCAAGAGGGCCTCAAGACGGCCAAGGCGGTACGCAAGCGCTGTGGTGCATGCGAGCACTGTGGTGTACACAGGCGCTGTGGGGCAGATCGCCACCTGCATGCTGCTCGCGTCGTCTTCGTCGTCGTCGTCGTCGTCGTCGTCGTCGTCGCTCGTCGCTCGTCGCTGGTCGCTCATCGTCGTCGTGCACTCGGGCGCGGCTGTGGTGCCGGAGCCGCACGGCGGGGGGGGCGTTACGTCATACCCCCCCCCGCCCCCTGCCCCCCCCCCCTTGACGCCCGTCATCGCCGATGATCAAGAAACGCGCTCTTGGGCTGTCTGGGCCTCTGGGGCCGTCTTGGAGAGATTTCTGGGGCCTCTTTGGCCGCCTTGGAGGCAGTGGAGGCCCGCAAAGGTGACAAAGATGAAATCCTTCTGAGGGCATTCAACGATTTCTGCCCCTTCCGGCTCTCTTGGGGTCATCTTGGGGCCCTCTTGGGGCGTCTTGGGGGCCGGGCCCTCTTGGGTACCCCGAGGCGCTCTTGGGCCGACTCGGGGAGCTCTTGGGACCCCCGGGACCCTCTGGGGTGGAGGAGGAGGAGGAGGAGGAGGAGGAGGAGGAGGAGGAGGAGGAGGAGGAGGAGGAGGAGGGAGGAGGAGGAGGAGGGAGGAGGGAGGAGGAGGATGAGGGGGGAGGAGGAAGGAGGAGGAGGAGGAGGAGGAGGAGGAGGAGGAGGAGGAGGAGGAGGCGGAGGAGGAGGAGGAGGATTATGAGCTGGAGAAGGGTCGGCTGCGATCAAGGACCCCTTCAGCCACCAGGAACCATGAACCAGGAGGAGGAGGAGGAGAAGGAGGAGGAGGCGGAGGAGGAAGAGGAGGAGAACGAGGAGGTGGAACATTGTAAGTCCATGATGGATCGGCGACGCTGCAATCCGCCCGCCCGTCCCAAAAGTCCCCTCCCCACAAGCTGGGAATGCTTTTTTATCACTTCGGGAAGTGTGTTCCCCTTGGAGGACGAGCGCCCCCCGTGTTCTTGCCATTTGGGCGCGGGTCCCGCTTGGAAGAGGAGCTGCCGTCCGTGCTCCGAACCAGGAGGGCGGCGACGGCGCAGGAACAAAAGAAGGGCCGAAGCTCTGAAAACGAGCCGCCCTCAATCCGTGCACATGGTCCTCATTCTGCACCGTCTGGTCATTCAAGCCTCAGGAGGTCCCGAGCGAGGTTCCCAGGCTAAGATTCGTCGCCCTCCATTTGTGACTTCTGACCTCACGGGCTACGGAAGTCTGAAACGAAAGGTGCACGTTGAGATGTAGTTGCCCTCATTCAGTGTAACAGTGGGAAGCACACCTGTGTGCGGCGCTAAGGTGTGAACCATATTTTGATGATAATCCCCCCTTAGTTCGTGTAAATCTTCTATCTTGTATGACCAGTGTGCGCGGCACCCAGTCGAGAGCCACATTCTGAAAACGACTCCCTTCCATCCGTGCAAGTGCTGGAAGTTTTTAAGACGAACGTGCGCGGCGCAAAGGCGGGATCCACATGTAGAAACCAACCCCGCCTCCATCCGTGAAGTGTTTAGGCACTTTTGAGACGAATGTATGCGGCGCTAAGGCTAGAGCCACCTTTTGAAAACGATCCCCCTCCATCCATGTAGCTGCCGTGCATATCAAATTTCGGGGTCATCAACGGACAGGACGTCCCAGGCGAAACGCCTCTCCCGCCCTATCGACACGTCTGTTGGCCAT